AACTCAAGTAGGTACAAGAGACTAAATGGGCAGCTTCTGTCCGGAGGTGAGATGGGAAGGCAGAGAGGGTTAGGAGCTGGTTGAATGGACATGGGGCATCAGGGGTGGAAAGGAGGAGTGTGCTGTCACAATATGGGGAGAGTAATTAGGGTCACATAACAATGTATGAATTTTTGTATGGGAAAAATAAAAAGATTACAGCCTCAGAAACCCTATGCGGCAGTTCTGCTCTGTCACATGGGGTCACTATGAGTCAGAATCCACTCGAGGGCAGCAACAACAGGGAGAGGAATGGGCGAGGCATTGCCTCAGAGCAGGTTTGAAGCCCTGCACCCTCACAGTAATCTCTCGGTAAATATTTTTGCTTAATTAACAAATGGATGACAGGGACTAATTGCTGCAGGGCTAAATTTAAGACTCTCTCATGTGAAAATCTGCCAAAAACAACCCATTAGAAGGTCATGAAATCAATTTAAGGAGTCACCGTCAGCATTTTAATTAAAATGAAATAACAGTAAATATGGGAGTGCATTACATAAAGTATCATTTCATGAGGAAACTTTTTTAGTTATACTGTGTGCATGTTTGTGTGTACTGGGCAAGGGTAAACTGTTTTTCCTGCTGAGTTGTTGTTAAAACAGGTTTGAAAGCCACCCAGCTACTAGCTGTTGACACTGGGCAAATTCACTCATTGTTTCTGGGCCTCAGTTTCCTGATCTGTAAAGTGGGGATAATGGGTAGCACCTTTGTCAGGGTGTGGCTGTGAGATTTGACTGAGTTGTTGTTGTTGTTAGGTGCCGTCAAGTTGGCTCCGACTCATAGCAACCCCGTGTACAACAGAAGGAAATACTACCTTGTCCTGCGCCATCCTCACAATGGTTGTTATGCCTGAGCCCATGGTTGCAGCCACTGTGTCCATCCATTTTGTTGAGGGTCTTCCTTTTTTCGCTGACCCTCTACTTTACCAAGCATGATGTCCTTCTGCAGGGACTGGTCCCTCCTGACAACATGTCCAAAGTACATGAGACGAAGTCTCGCCATCCTCGCTTCTAAGGAGCATTGTGGCTTGACTGAGTTAGCATATGAATACTGTTTAGAATACTGCCTGGAACATAAGAACAACTTAATCAATGCTTACTCTTATGATTACTTGTTGAATGAATGAATGAGCTAGTCCCTAATCTTGTCTTGAATTGCCCTGCCTACCTCTTTTCAGAAGTAGCTTTTTCTCCTAGGGTTTCTTTCTCCTGATTTTAATTTGTACTGTTAAAACCAAAATCATAGTAAGCCAATAACAGAAATAGATTGAAGTTGATTGAATATATGGAGCCCCGGTGGCACAGTGGGTAAGCATTTGGCTGCTAACCAAAAGGATGGCGATTTGAATCCACCAGTCACTCCTTGGAAACCCTATCAAGCAGTCCTACTCTGTCCTACAAGGTCGCTTTGAGTCAGAACTGACTTGACGGCAACAGGTTTTTTTGGTTTTGATTGAATATATGATTTGCAAATCGGGGTAACATTTTGACTAGGAGATAAAAAATGTTCCTAAGAGGAGAGAATTTCCAAAGAGTCATATACCCCATCTTATCGACATTGCCATGGAAACGCGGCCAGAACATTGGTTACAAAATGACAGTTTACCCTAGCACACAGTTTCTGGTCTGACCTGAACTCTCTGTTTCTCAAAACTGACCGCACATAGGGAATTCTTCAAAACAGCCCAGCACCTAAGTCGAATTGGTCGTTACTAAGGTGTTTACTAGGCTATTGTTTGATTTTAAAGGTGACTTTAGGAGACCAGGGGGCCCTGGTGGCGCAGTGGTTAAGCGTTTGGCTGCTAACCAGAATCCACCAGCCACAGTTCTACCCTGTCCTATACGGTCACTGTGAGTCAGAATTGACTTGACAGCAAGAGGTTTGGTTTTTTGATTTAGGAAACCAGGGCAGTGGCCTGAGTGGGTCACCCCAACACCATGAAACCCCAAATCTGGATTTCACGAATGAATTAAAACTCTGTTTCTCAGTACTCACGCTCGTTCTAGCCCCTTTTTCCAAACAACTATACATATTTTTACTTATTTATTCTGTTTATCATCCATAGCCCCCCACTAGAATAAAAGCTCTATGAGAGCGGATGAGACGGTTGTCTGTCCTGTTCACAGCTGAGCCCCACCACCTACACACCAGAAGTGGCAAACATTTTCTCTAAAGGGACAGATAGTAAATCTTCTAGGCTTTCCTAATGCATTTATGCTTATGCCATACTGTTTTTCTCAAAACTACTGAACTGGCAACTACTCAGCTCTGTCCCTCTTGTGTGAAACCAGCCTTCCTCATTGCTTACCAAAATGAGCACTGCTGTGTTTCAATAAAACTTTATTTACAAAAACAGGCAGGCTGAATTTGGCCCACAGGTGGTAGTTTGCCAACCCTTAAACTATTTGAAAATACTGGCTGCAATAGTATTAAAACTGAGTTTCATATAGTTTTCACATGTCACAAGAGATTCTTCTTTTGATTTTTTAACCATTTAAAAATGTTTATTTAAATTCTTAGCTTGTGGCAATGTCATGGGATCGTACATGTAGAAATTGTTAAATTGCTGTATGTTTTGCTGTGTATATTTTCAACAACAATAAAAAAGTAGCAAACCAAAGAAAAAAAAATTTTTTTTTTTTTAAATTCCGAGCTCCTGGGCCACACACAGATTTTGCGGAAGGGCCTAGTTTGCTAACCCCTAACCCAGACAGTGCCTGTTGTGTGCAGTGGAGTGACCGAGTAGAACTGCCCAGTTTTCTAGGCTATAAACTTTCAAAAGGAGCCCTGATGGCAATGTGTTTAAGTGCTGGGCTGCTACCGGAAAGGTCGGTGGTTCGAACCCACCTCTCTGTGGGAGAAAGATGTGACAGGCTGCTTCCGGAAACATTACAGTCTTGGAAACCCTATGGGGCAGTTCTCCTCTGTCCTGTATGGTCGCTATGAGTCAGAATCAACTCCACAACAACGGATTAATCTTTATGGGAGCAAATAGCCAGGACTTTCTTCCGCGGCGCCACTGTGTAGGTTCAAACCATCAATCTTCGGTTAGCAGCAGAGCACGTAACCGTTGCGCCACTAGGGCTCCTTAGATTGTGCCCAGGCGTCCGATAATCGCTTGTGAAATAAATGTAAGCGCCTGCGTCCCTGAAACTTGTCCTTCTCGGAGACGCGCCCCCGCCCCCGCCCCCGCCCCCGCTGCTCCTGCGGAACAGGCTGGTCATTTTGCGGAGCCGCTTGGGGAAAATGTTTCCAGCCGGCAACAAGGTCCCTTTTCCCCCCGCTGCCTCCACTGTCCGCCCCTCGTGCCGCGGGCTCGGGAGGGTCCTTCGGGCAGCTCCTCCACGTCCTAGGTGGCCGGACGGGAAAGGGACGGCCGGGGTCTCTGGTCAGGAGGCTACGCGCGCGGGTCCACAGGCGGCCTGCTGGGAGCGGTCCTCTCCGGGCGGCGGCATCCAGGCCTGGGTCAAGTGGAGGCTGCTCGGCCGGTCATCCGCACCCCTGGGGCATCCTGGCGCCGGCTGCACGGAGGGTCCCACCTAGAACCGAGGGAGACAAAGTCAGGGGCAGAGGCAAACAAAGATGAGCTCAGGTGAAGGGGCGGTTTTTAGGAAATTAGGGTAGGCAGGGTGAGAATTGGTTCGTCCTGCTTTCTCTCCAGCTGCAGTAATCAAACTGCCAGTTCTTTGCCAACGCAGGAGACAGACGTACCACTTCGCAAGGGCTTACTGTGTGCCAGGCACCATCCCAAACACTCTATGTGGGCTAACTCCTGACAAAACTAGGTAGATGCTAGTATTCCCATTTTGCACATGGGAAAACTGAGGCATAGACGCTGAGAAAAGGGACAAACCGGGATTTGAACCCGGGTCATATGGACTCAGAGCCACTAGTCTCGACCACTACACCTACTGCCAAGGACTCCTGAGGACCTGATTGCTGGGGTG